AAACCTTCCATTATATTCTTCGACGAGCTCGATGGCCTAGCTCCTGTGAGGTCGTCCAGGCAAGACCAAGTACATGCTAGCATCGTGTCGACTCTATTGGCCCTCATGGATGGACTGGCAGATAGAGGAGAGGTCATCGTGATAGGGGCTACGAATCGAATAGACACAATCGATCCAGCATTGCGGAGGCCAGGCAGATTCGACAGGGAACTGTTCTTCCCTCTACCTTCTAGAAGTGTAAGTATTTTATATAGCAATGTAACGTACATTGAAATATATTATGGGCGAGGTTCTATAAATTCCAGTTGATTATCTATTCTCAAGTCTAATGCGTTTACATATCTACATATCTATCTATCTATTTTTCCGTTAACCAGTTAACATAAATCTGTTAATGGTAAATCCAACAGTAAGAACATAAATGATTGAAATCCGGCCCGACGGACCAAGAAATATAGGGAACTCATAAAATTGACCGTAAAGAAGTAATTCAGATCCGGCTCGAAGGACCAAGAAATATAGAAAACTAATGAAATCGGCTTTTTTTAGGAACGTGGAGAAATCCTGAACGTCCATACCTCCGCTTGGTCTAACCCCCCGAACAGGCAAATGCTGGATTATCTGTCGGAGAATACTGTGGGTTACTGCGGTTCGGATCTTAGGGCACTGTGTTCTGAGGCGGTTATACAGAGTTTCAGAAGGACATATCCGCAGGTGTACAGTTCCGAACATAGATTGCTACTGAATCCTGAGAACGTAAAGGTAAGTTGACCCAGTTTCCATAATATTCCTACTCGAAAAACATATGTTTGTTTCACAATGATTGTCGTGTTTCAGGTAGAGAAAGTGGACTTCATGAGGGCGAAGTCGTTACTGGTGCCTGCTTCACACAGAGTTACCCAGGGTTTGGGAAGGAAACTCTTGCCAATATTAGAACCAGTTCTACAGGACCCCATGAAGAAGTCCTTGAGTCTTCTGGAACAGACATTCCCACACGGTTTAAGCGCTACCTTATCAAAGTAAGTTTTTGTTCTCGTCGAGTGCGTTCAAATTTTGGGGTACTTCAAAGCTCTCAATTGGGGCCTCTTTCATTCGGTTCAATATTTCAAGTGTATCTTTTTTTCAGGGTGAAATTGTCCCCCAATTTGCGACCCGCTCAACTGCTAATTACTGGTGACGGTCCAGAGCATGGGCAGACTTCACATCTGGCACCTGCCATCCTTTTCAAAATGGAACACATCCATGCTTATCTCCTGGACCTTGCTGCCCTCTACCAGGAATCTGGTAGATCTGCTGAAGAAGTTTGCATATTAGTAAGTCACTTGAAATGATATGCTATAGTTTATCATGAATTCTTGACAATTATGGTATGATAATGATAATAATAATAGATTTTTTGAATGAGTGGGAATCCCTGATATACAAATGTGAAACAAGGTACACTCTAATAAAAATAATAATAGTGATAACCTTCATTTCACAGAAAAACTTTACGTGTTACAAGACACACAGGCTGATTCACGGTGGATGGCGCATTAGACGTTTCTGGTGAACCAGACAATGGATCGCTTTGAAAATTTAATGGAGGGCATATTCGGACATTCTCTAGCAAACTAAAATATTTTCGACAATGCGGTGTTGNTAAAAATATTTATAACAAAAAAATCTGTACCTTCATGTTTGACGCCATTTCGTTCTATGTTACTGACCTTTTGCAATAAAAGTTCGTAATCTATTCTGAAATAAAGCGTTTATTATTATTTACTCGATTGAAATAACTAGAGCAAATGATTAACACTGCAATGTAATCTTGCAAATTAATTGTAAAATCGTTTAGTATTATTATAAAAATTAATATTTGTCATGATTGTATAACTTGATATTTTCTTTTGACAATAATTTTGAAACAAAATTCATAAAAAACAAATAAAATTGCATCAAAAATAGATAATTGGGGTACCCCACAAGGGATAGTTATATGAACTGGCATATTTTCCCAGACACTCAGACTTTTTTATAAATAACTTGTGTTGGTCTTGAACCTAGCTATTCCACATCGCTCATGCTAAAGTTTTCAACTGAATCGTTTGTTTTCTATGAAGGTTTTTCATGTTCACGAAACCCGTGGACACGAAAGAAGTACCTGATTACACCACCATAATAAAACAGCCGATGGATTTGGAAACGATGATGACCAAAGTGGATTTATACCAGTACGAGTGCGCCAAAGACTTCTTGAACGACATCGAACTCATCTGCCAGAACGCTTTGGAGTACAACCCCGCCAGATCGTCCGCTGACAAACAGATAAGGCATCGGGCTTGCTCTCTGCGGGACTACGCTTACACTTTGATAAAAACCGAAATGGATACCGACTTCGAGGACAAGTGCCAGACAATTTCGTGCAACAGGAAGAAACGGAAACACTGCCCGACGAAATACCTGCCACCTTACATATACACTCCAGGTACGTCATCTTATGATTCGGAGTGGCCCCAAAACGGGACCTTCTGAAACTCTCCTAGATTTTTTTTTATTGTGTATACTTTCAGAAGGTCAAGTTGACCACGAGTCTATGCTTGATACTACTTTGGACGAACAGCAGGATAAGCTGAACGAGAAGTCAGCGGAAAAGTTTGACTCGAGGACTCCTAGGAAAAGGAAGAGGAGTTGGCAAAAAGGGCAACTGTTAGTGAAGAAAAAGAAGAAGAAATCTTTGGATAATTGTCAAGGCCAGGTAGGCAACTACAGTCAATTATATTTTTCATGGTATCGGAATTGTGGCTGCATGTTATTGAGAATGATTCGTTTCTGACAATTGCAACTTCGGATATGTCGATTATTGCATGAATAGCCAAAATCTATCAATGAGCGTATTCAAAATCTTAGTCAATTAAGTCTTGAAATATCCCCACAGTCTGAATATTAGCACTTCCAAGTCTTTCTAGCAGTAAATTCAGAATTGTTTGATACTTCAGATTTGTCAATAGACAAATTCAAATGTTGTGAATTGGCATTCAAAACATAACTATTTTGACTTCAAATCTGTCAGCCGATGGATCAAATTCTGTCTAATGATTCTTTAAATCTTTCAACCGACACTCAGTCAGACTAGAATCGTTTTATTTGTAACGTGCACCCTTGAAAAAGTATTTACTTTTTGTCGAATTATGTCCGCTATAAAAGTTTCTCTACTTACTCATTTATATTGAATGACAATATTCAAAATGTGTCAATGGGCAAAATCAAAACCTGTCGGTGTAGAAGCTATAACTTGTCACTTGTCTGTGAAAAAACAAATTCAAAACAAAAATTGTACACTTTTGACACTTTAAATCTGTCAACTAACAGATCAGCCTCTGTTGATTGACACATTTTAATGTGTCAGTGAGTGGTTACAAAACTTTTAATTGATACAGAATTAATTACTGTTTAATTGTAACAGTATATATTACTTTTTTAATTCTTTTGATCAACAGTTTAGTCAATTGATGTTTTTCACACCTGCTATTGACAATTTCAAAACTTGTCGGTGGATTGATTCTAGCTTTCGAGCTATGATCAGATTCAAAATATGTAAACTTGTACATACATACAAAATATTACCGTGTTTTATTTTCAATCCCTGTGTTTTTGTTATGCAGGTGGACGAAAAAGTTTCATCTAGCGAATCCAAAGAAAATGACGCCAAACCGACACCCACTCAACCTGTCACTGCCGATGAGGTGTCTTCCGTAATAGTGAAAGAGGAACATGCGGAAACCGTTACCGAAGTGACGACCCCGCTTACCATTAACTGTGATATTCAGACTAGTAGAGTGGAACCTTCGAATTTCTTACAGTGAGTACCATTCATTGAAACTCTGGGTTAAACATTTCATGGGTAAATAAGTGTTTTGTTAGCAACAAGGTGTTGAATTTTTCCCTATTTTTGTTCACTTTTAAACAAAAAATTATTATCATTAAATGCTGAAGCAAACAACAAATATATCCGTTTCGATGTACCTCATTGTACAATTTTGGGACCACTATTGTTCAAAACCAAAATATACTTTATTGTCACAAGATTTTGTATCCCATCAACAAACCCAGAGATATCACTCTGGGTTTTTTCCTTCCGCAATATTGTTGTATCATCAGCGAATAGAGTAAAGCTGCCAGATATATCTATCATAGTCAAATCATTAATATACAACAAAAACAGAACTGAACCCAACCCAGAACCCTGTGGCACACCAGATGGGATTGCCCTTCTTTCTGAAAGTTCCGGTGTTCTTACCATTTGACTTTGGCCTGAGAGTTACGATTCAAACCAGTTGTACGTCATCCCTCTGCATTTTTCCATTTATATCACAATACATTAGATTGATGGATGTAGTTCCCTTCATATAATATGGATATTGATATGCTTGAAAGTGTTCAAGACAAGTTTTTAAGATACTCTGCATATAAACTGGAGTATCATATTGGTGAATATAACCATAAAATTATATTGGAGACAGTGTTAAACTCTTAGGCATACATCTGGATGATTCTTTGAACTGGTTAGAGCACAATGAATAACTTAGCATTGAACTGTCGAAATGCACATTTCTTCTTCAGAAATTGAAAGATGTAATCTCTTGAACAGGCATTACTTTAAACGTGAATCTAAAGAGAACAAGAAACACAGAAATCTTCAAAGTATCTTTTTATCATACCAACTATTGCCAGAATGAGTATAGGTAAAATTTTCAGACTTGCACACACTTACAATGTGGATATAGAACTTTTTAATTCTTCCTTGGAATCATTCAAAAAGACTGTGACAAGATTGTAATTTATGACTGTCCCTACATCCAGCTTACAGTTCTAGCTGAATGTTACAGTGCATATGTCTTGTTGATTATTTTGTAAAAATAGGCAATGTTTTGAATAAATAGATATTGACTCGTTATCGCCTTTCCAAATCATCAACTAATAACTCACAGGGATTCTTATTTTTATGGGGATAGAACGTTTGAGAAAATGGAAGGAGGAACGAAAATATTAATTTATGAAACATGGAAAATGGATTTTTTCAAAATTCACATACAAATCATTTTGATTTTGTAGAAAAAAATCACGTATATTTTTGAATTCTCGTCTAGGTCTCCAAGAAGAAGGCTCAGTGATCTTCTCAGTCCATCGGAGTTGTTGGATAATCCACTGGATTTTGATGATGTGGATGAAGCTCTAAATGAAGCAGGTAAGTTTCCAGTTCAGATGAGTAAATAATGTTAGTAATGATAACAGTTCGAACTATCCAAGGAATGATTTCGAAATTCGTTCATAAATTGTGTTAAAATTGGAGTCTCTGATATTTATTCTTCTCTTGTCCTATGGCACTGTTCTTCTGTCTTTTCTTTTGCGTTGATATTTGGAATATATCTGTTCACATTGAAATGTTGTAAGTTTGGACTTGTCACTTGTCACTTCTTTAGACAATAGAAACCCAAAGTTGTAACATTCACCAAGAAACATTGTCATCTTCTTTCAAACAATATGTCAATTGATCCTGTAAATATTTCAAGTGATACTTGAAAGTCTCTATTGACACTTTTAAATTCCAACTCTGGCGGAACAAATTATAAACTATTAAAAACTTGTCAATCCACACTCGAATCTATCAATGAACTTCGCAATTAACTTGTCATTTGAAATTGGTTAGTGTTCACAAACCCTGCCTATTGATCTTTTAATTCTTTTAGCCGGCTCTTTAATTCTGCAAATGGACAAATTCAAAATTTGTCAATTGAAAGTTTTAAATTCTATCTTTTGACACTTCCCCCTATGTTTCAAGCTACAAAAGTGCATCAATTTATATCGATACAGTATTAAAAATTTTTAGTTTCAGAAAACTCCAAAACTAAAAATAATATTGAGTGCTCCCAAACGGAACTGGAAAAGGCATTGGAGACGGCTGTCAAAATGACAGATGGATATTCTCTAGTATCGCTTCTCGACCTCTACAACCACCTTAGCAGGATAGTAAAGAAATATTCCAGGACACACATAAGGACGCAGTTGCCAAAGGTAAAAATACTTCATCAATGTTAATAGTGACGAACATTTTTTCAAAAAAGTGTAGCTGAAAAGACTTACATGGATTATTTTCTAGGAACTGTCAAAGGAATTGTCAAGGTGCAAAAAAGAAGGAGCTCCTGAGTACAAGTCCCATTCACCTCTGGGAAAATCACCCTGACCGGGCCGTTTTAAATAGAAATATTTTTTATTTTTAAGTATTTATTTCGGTATTTTTAATTTTTTAGGTTATTCATAAACGAGGCGGTGTACTGTCTTAACTTGATTTTTTATTTGCCAAGTGTTGGACGGATTGAACGCACGGGTTTGTATGGTAGTGTAAATGACGAACGAAACGGGTCCAGGGGCGTAACCTTGAGGAAGTCCAAAAATTATATTCACTTCTGATATCACATTTTCTCAGAAACGAACTCTCTTTCTTTATGTACCTTTGAAACCGTCCAACATAGAGTAGCGTCACTTTTAGTTTTGATTTTAAAGAGTCGTATATTCTGAAGAACATACTACCAAAGATTTTAGGTTTGTAAGTATCACATTCACTGCCATAAGAAATGTTATTTTTTGGGTTTTCATTTTTTCAAGGAATCTGTAAATACGTGCCTTCCCCATTAATACAAGTTGTTGAATCCTGTGTATGATTTGAGTATATATGTGTGAAGTATCAGGTGTGAACTTTTTGAAATTTTCCATTGTTCGATAATTATTAAAGGTTTATGATTTATATGATGGTTTTGTTTTTTTTTTCATCCTGCTTCATAACTTCCAGTGTAACGGTGATCTGTACTGAGGTAGGTAGGTGAGGGTGAATGTAAATTCTGAATAATAATAACAATTTACTTCCCAAGAAACATACACCCTCTTGAATGAAAATTAGTCTAATCAACAAGTTCAAATTTTGCCTTAATTGTTGATTTATAAAGATAATTTTCCTTTTTTAAAGTAGAATATCTAGGTACATATAAATTATTTCAACTTGATATAGGCGCTGTTGCCAAAATGTGAATTAGAAACGAATCCCTTTAAAAAATTAAAACCCAACATTTGAAACATCAATTTGAATACTTTTTGAAGTGAATTTGAAAAAAAACATGAATTAAACTCAACTTTATTTTGTTCAAACTTGCATTTGCTGTAATAACCCAAATTGAGGAACATTCCCCATTGTTCCCCTTTATTGTATTAAGTTTGCAAGAGGAAATTGGTAATTTGGATAGGTCAAATGATAGCTGAGTTAAAAATTGTTATTCATTTTCCTCCAGTTTTATGAGTTGTTCCTAGATAGGTGAATAGTTTAGGTAATGTATTTTACATGTAGAAATTTGAAAGGTAGTAATCACAATGATTCAAATTACTATAAAAGCACGACTCAGAATTTGTACAAACAGTATTATGAAGCCCAAAGATGCTATCATATAGCAAAACGTGTCGTGATTTTGTAGACTTTCAAGTGGAAATCTCACATCAAACTATGTTTTTTGAATACGTAATAATAGATTTTCATCAACTATCGGTCACTTCCATCATTACCTAGGTTAAATTTCAATATGCCCTGTAAACCCTGCCAGCTCAGAAAGATGAAATGACTTTCATGAAAATTTCCACCTTAATAATCCCAGAAACTTTTCCAAATGAGTGCGACTGTGAGTCCTAAAAAAAAGAAATTGATAGCAAGAGCCACACATTTCACAAGTTTGACAAACCCGGGAGCAGGTGCAAGTATATCAACAGCAAGCCGAATATACAAACTAATCTGACATCCATTTAATGAATAATCGCACCCACTGTTTCAAGACCCTTAAAAACAAAGTTTCTGAAACAACAGCTATCAGGAAAATAAGATTAGGGCATCCAAATAACCCAAACACACAACCCTCTACTGTACCAACTCACTGGTATTATCCCCATTGAAGAAAGACTACCGCTACTTACTTATAAGTTTGCTGGAAAAGACGACTATGTAGAAAGAAATCATTAGACGAGAAATCTCCATGCAGGAGTATGACATCGCCACCCAACAGAAACACTGTTGGAAAAACTAACACAGCTTCATCAATGAAATTGATATAATCCAACACCCTTCGTTGTATTAGCCAGGGGAGTAGTTGTTTTCTGATAGGTGTCAGTCCGTTAACCTGCAGTGTAGTTGAGAATGGTCTGAAGGAATTGTTCCTTTAGATCTTTAGATGTTTCAATGAAATTGTTTTAGGTTTATTGATAATCATATAAGATTTTCTTTTTTTTTGTGTGTAATATTGTAAAATAAGCTATGTAATTTTGAAGCTATTTTGTTACACAGGCAGAAGGACTTCGGTCGATAGCCAATTGTGCAAAATTGTAATGTTTTTCAATAAACTACAATTTTTGTTATTATTGTAAGTCCTGATATGTCCTTCGTGTTGTTCTGCGGGATACTAAGAAATACACAAAGCCTCCCTTATATAAAAATTTTATTAACTTACAGAATAATGACTATAACATTACGATGCCAAAAACTGATTAGTAAACAGGGTATAAAATTGGAATGGAGTCTTTAAATATAAAATATAAAAGTAACCAACTTTGTAGAAATAATTAGGTGAATAAGTTACAAGAAATGCTCCAACACAGCCTGTTGCAAGAACAACACTACAACCTAAATGTATAATGCACTCGATGGTAAAAATCACTTATCTCTTAATAAGTACTCCTAAAAGTGTCGAAAAATCGTCTCTGCAACAGGCCAAAGACGTTGCACTAAAAACATCTACCCTGACATGATCAGCTTGACGAATTCTTCATAGTTAACATTACCTTGGGAATCTTCCTGGCCTTGAAGAAGCTGTTCCACCTTAAAAAAAAATCGCACAGAGTAAAACAGTCAAAGACACTTTGAAATGCAATGAATACCTCATCATCAGTTAATTTTTCTCCGAGAGTAGTTAAAAGGTGGCGCAGCTCTGCAGAACTGATGTAACCATTGCCGTCTTTGTCGAAATGGCGCAAACCTTCAATGAAGTCTTGATATGTATCGCCGCTCCTTGTCTTTGAGATTTGCTAAAATAAAATCTTCACTAATTATCATTCAAAATTATATGTAGAGTAGTCAAAGCCTTGGTTTGGTTCATCAAAAGATTAGGGAAAATGAAACTAAATATAAACAACATTGAGAAATATTATCTGAGTACTTCAAAGTGTCTCGATTATTAATTGGTACTCTGTCAGTTTTTGAAATGATTATTCCAGTGAAACTGCTTGGTAACTAACGATATGAAGATGGAAACAAGAAATAAATAAGAGTAAGAACATAATCACAGCCTTTTTTTGATTTTAAACGGCCTTTGAAACCATTTAAAGCAATCCATTACAAGTATGCTTAAGCTAGCAAATAAGAATACCGTCTTTATTGATGTACTCTGTCAAAATCACGTGAAACATATTACTACTCTACTATGAAGAAACTGCAGATTATTAATAATGAATAATACATCGATATTTATGTAATTTCAGTATTCCAGCTTATTATTTAATTACATGCAATAAGTGGTTATGAACTTTGCCAAAATATGGATCTTCACATTCAAGAAACTATTCATATGATCTTTTGTTCTTTGGGAAAACATTCTCTTCGTTTGCACAATATAGTTTTGGGCAAGAATCACAAGTCAACGTATATACTCTTAATCTATCTGACACCGAAGTTTTGTGTTTATTACATTTAATGAATTTGCTCACATTATCATTTGTTCTGTGAGCCACATCCAAGACTTTCTATTGAAAAAACAATCTTGGAATGTTTGGAAATCAATAGATTTCAAAATTCTACTGATTTACCGATTAATCAAATAGAATTAGATGTTTTTTCTAATGTGGAAATTGATGATTGAATGAATGAATTCTCATCAATATTTAGGCACAAGAGAGACATATCATCACAGAACTGTTGGAACAAACTAGGTCATGGATTATATGTTACAAGTGCTAATTTTAACAATAATCATGAGTAAAAGTATACTAAAACAAAGTAATTGCTTTGATAACCTAAATAACCTGCAACTCAATGTAATGCACTTGAACTTTTGTCATTCTAACTATTAGTTGACTTTCAAATTCAAGTACAACTGTTTTGGACTTATTTAACAAAAGCAATAAACACTAATAACAATAAAAGCACTATAACAATTGCTAATTGAAACATTTGTATAAACTTTCTATAAAGACTATTTAAAATGGATATCATTAACTACCTATGAGATAAAAACCAACATATTAGGAACATTCCAGAATTTATCTACTTTTAGAGTTCATGAAGAGAACAGATGAATAGCTTGAGCTAGTTTTTTGAAAAAATTTAATTAGACTTATATATTTTTGTCCAGGACTTCAAAATCTGACTTTTGCATGGTCATTTCTCCAAAAGTAGTCCGGAGCATCAAGTTTTGACTTTAGATTTGTGATCAGCGGTCAAAACTACATTAGTCTAATTAGGAATTTTCCAAAAATTAGTATGAGCCATTACAAGTTGCCCAGTAAAAAAACTGAATAAACTTCATATTAGGAGCAATTAAAACTGGTATTATCAAGTACCCTAGAGATGAGAGCTGGCACATTAAGAAAGTCTATTCAAATTAGAGTTGATGAAGAAAACAAAGAATGACTCATATGCATATTTTGCATCTGAATCACACTGAAAAGAAGCATTTGTAAAAGACTCACCTGGTAAATGGGCAGGAACACTTCAAAAGACACCCTCTCATCAGGTTTGTGCTGGTGGGTGTACTTTTTTACATCCGATTCGGTTGGGTTTTGACCCAATGCCCTCAGGGCGTCTCCGATCTGGGCAACGTGAATTTTTCCATCCCCGCGGTTATCGAACAGCTGGAAAGCCTCCTGGAACTCTGAAAAAACACCACATCATTAAACACACCTCACCTATTACTCTGCTAACCTTCTACAGAAGTTAGGGTTAATTTACTGGGAGGTTCGTAGAGATACATCTTTGTATATTGATATTGGAGAGATCTGATCAAGAACTGAACATCTGCGTCCGAGAAATGCGTAATTGGCAACCTTACATAAACTTTCAAAATCATACCTTATAAGGAATAAACTGGCAAACATGAATCATTTCAACACTCCATAACCTACTTCAAGTCAGTTTGTTGCACTCAAAAGAGCTACCGATAGTTTTTGAAAATTACCGCAGGTTTTGACGCCTCAGTGAGTATTTGTTTTCTATATTTACAGGCGAAAAGATCAGGAAGATAAAGGAAATACATTGGGGAGTGTTAAGAAAAGGTACAAGAGCTTATCAAGGCGGGGCAAAGTAACCTCAATTTAACGACTATAATTTCCTTACCGGCCATCTGATCCTCAGTGTAATTTGCCTGCAACATAACAAGGAACAATTACTGAGATTGCCATATTTTTTACGATGGATTTATGAGGAATTCTTTTGTATTTCTTACCATTTTTGTGATTTATCGCTATTGAACTGTCAAAAAAAAACGAATCAAAATCAAATGACGTTTACAAATTGTACTAGTTCTGTGATTGAACGCTAGTCCTAGCGGGAAATTCGAAATAGGTCGGAAGAAGATGCTACCGGGGGGAATCGAAAAGTTCGAGCAGTGCTCTCCATAGAATATGAAAATAAGAAGCTTTTTAGAACAAATTCAAATATTAAAGTTGAAGAATAATTATATAGCCAATGCACAATTGTCAATCAACAATGATCGAGCTCAATCAGAGTTTTATGTCAACCTGTTTTAGCCAGTCTATCTGTCGATTGACGCTTTTCATTCTGTTGACACTTTATGAAATATCTCAATATTGATTCGAAAATGTTCAGATTTGTTGACTTAATTGTATCATCTGGCTTATTAAACATTTCAGGACCAAGATGAAGAAAGGTGTTTTGTTGTAAAGAGATCTGTTTTATTTCTGTTCTGTTTAAACCTGTTTTTCCGTTAACCAGCTGTCGCACCCCTACGAACGACAACCCTCAGAAGTCTAAAATTGTGCGAGATAAAGATTAACGAGGTCTTACCTTTTAACGTGTGATTCCTAACACGAGTTGGACGATAGCAAGTGGAAATCTATCGTTTAGGAATCATCTGAAGTCGGCAACTATCAGTTTGCAATAAAGCAGGCCCAAATATGCAGTCAGCATAGTTAAGGTGTGACAGAACAAGGGATTCGCATAACAGGATTCACATTTTCTTGTTAATAAATGTCTATAAGAGTAAATAAGTTTCAAATTACTAAATGCTTTTTTTATGACAAAGGAAAAATTAATACTAAATTTTGGCGAATTTCGAGAAGCAGGTTTAAATTGTATTTGTTTCTTTCTCGTGCTCCTTTCGTCCAAAAAGCAATGATTTTGCTTTAGCTGAGTTATCGTCAAACATAACTTCTTCGATAAGGAAGCCAAAGATTGGTATTCATATGGTCACAGGCAAGACGAATATCACTTTCTTCAAAGGACATGTAAAGTTGTATGTCGTCCGCATAAAAGTGAACTGAGAAGTGTCTTAATGTTTATGAAATTGCGAAGTATAAATAGTATACAGAAGGGGTCCAAGGATTAATCCTTGGGGCACTCCACTTTTTATAATTGCAGGATGAAACAGGTTTTCATTGAACAGCACAGTCAAAATATAAATTATATTTCAATACCACCTTCACAAGCCACATAAACAACAGTTGTTTTGTTATTTATTTATATAGAGGAAGATAGGTTAGGTGCACAAAATGTCATGTCACAGAATGTCTCGGAACTCGGAACATAAGTAAACAGAACAGCACGCCTCTGAAATAAGGCATCTTTGTTTGTCTCATACAGGTAACAGATTCGTTGTCATTAACAACAGTTGTTTTGTTATTTATTTATATAGAGGAAGATAGGTTAGGTGCACAAAATGTCATGTCACAGAATGTCTCGGAACTCGGAACATAAGTGAACAGAACAGCACGCCTCTGAAATATGTCATCTTTGTTTGTCTCATACAGGTAACAGATTCATTGTCCTTTATCAGCTAAAACCGATGTTGCCAAATGGTGAAATAGAAACGAATCCCCTTTAAATGTTGAATGCATTATTTCATTCCTCTTTTTTAAGTATTTAAATAATTTTTCAAAGAAAAAGGTTGAAATGATAAGTTTAAAATGTGTTGTTTTAGAGCTCTTTTATGAAAACTACTTGATTTTCGTCAGGAGGAACATTAACCATTCTGGTTTTGCCATTTTCGCGTGCTTGAGTTTACTTCGAGTTTTACTTTTACATTTTTAGAATTTTCTTTAATTATTAAATAGTGAATGCATATTAATTACATTTGATGCTTGTACTATTATGATAGGGGAGATCCCATACAATAAATTAATAAATAAATCGGAGATTTGAAGTAAACACGAAGAAAGCACACAGGGTGATCCTGGACAGTGTGTTCTGATGAAAAATACAAATAAAAATATAAATATTCTAAAATTCACATTTTTGTTATTCATTTGATACCATGAAACACTAGTTTACAGCCAATTTACTAATGTAACGCCAAGGACAGTTCTTTGTTAAATTTTGGTCCCTAAATGCGAAAATGATAGTAAACATTAACACGTAAGATTTTTGAGTTATGATTTTTTTCACAAAAATTTAATGAACACATTTCAAATTTGTTTTTTCTCTCTTCCTCCACTTGTCCAAAGAAAATGCTGAACTATTATGGTCTAGATTACAACAATGGAATTAACTAGCCCCTAAAACCAAAGTTACAATATTCAGGAACCGTAACCATGAGCTGTCCTCGTTTTTTACTATGCAGAATAAAATGTGTGTTTGTGTAAATACAAATGGTGTGATGGAAATATTAGGATTTGCACATAACCCGGAAGAATGGTGTTCATTTGAAAATTCGTCTAAAACAAGTTTAAAAGCCGTTCTGCTCCATAATGGTAACAAAAGACCCTCTATTCCTCTTACACACACAGTTGCCATGAAGGAAATACACGAAAGTATGTCACTTATTCTAAATGCAATCAGTTGTAATAGGTATAAGTGGCAAATATGTGGTGACCTAAATGTCATAGGACTATTACTAGATCTTCAGGGCGGATTCACGAAGTTTAGCTGTTTTCTTTGCCAGTAGGGCAACACAGAGCCATTATCAAGTAAAAGAATGGCCTCCGAGAGATAAATATATTCCAGGTCAAGCTAACGGGAAGAATATACCTCTTGTTAATCCCAAAAACGTTTTGTTACCTCCATTACACATTAAACTGGGGTAATGAAAATTTTAGTAAAATCATTACATAAAGAAGTTGATGAATTTGAATTTTATCCCAGAAAATTTGGGAGCTGTCAGTAACGAACAAGGGGAAAGGTTCCACCAAGGCATACTGACAATGGAGCAACGTTATCAAGGCAAATGGGATGCAGCAATGATGGGGCATTATTGTTGGTTCCTTATGAGGGAAATCATATAAACGAAAGTCAACATTTGCAAAAAGGTTATGCATAAAAGACTTCATTTGAATCTTTTTTCATGTGTATTGGAAATTTTTTGATGTTGTTGTCGCACTAAGGTTGCTTTAAACTCTCATGTATAGCCATTATAATATTAGTCGCAATTTTTTTTCTTATTTGTTGACTAGTAACATTAATCTTCTTAATAAACGGGTGTTACCTTGATCCGGACCACCTGTGCAGGTTCCACATCCTTGTGATGGGCATGTCATTAAAAAGATCAACTCCACTCCTGCACACTTCTGAAATATTATCGACCTAGGCGTGGCCCCGCCAAGAATTCGAAGGTGAAGTAAATAAAAAGTGCTTTGTGATGTATGATCGAATTATGGGTTGTAATTAAGAATTTTTGTTTGATATATTTACCGAGGATGGTTGTTTTTATGTGTGCTGTGATGATATCATATTTCGTGCGGGTGTTGGATGAAATGCTACTAGGAGTGGAAGGTGATACGCCTACAGGTGTTCAAAGATATGAAAAAAACTTTGATGACTTCATTAGTAAACTCTTTTCAACTTCCTGGTTGATCCAGATCGAGTATCTGAAACAGTAGTATTTTTTTAAGTTCATCAAGATGAACAATAAAACAGTTGAGTAACGCTTCTTTGAGAGAAATGCCTTTCTTTTAGAGCAGAAGTTCTCAAACCCAATTTGGTCTACCGCCCACTTCGAGAATTAATTATTTTCTAGCGCCTCCCAAATTTTTTTACTTTACTACATCTTACGAATCACAATCGCAGTCATTATTTTAATAATAAATTGAAATGATACTTTTTGATGAGGGTAATGTAAAACACCATTTTGTAACATTACGAAAACTGTTTATTCATGTTATTAAAACAAACATTTCAATTTGTATTTTAAAACTAATCTAATGTGATGGATGACTTTGATGATTTTTAACAAGTTTGTTAATATCAGGCTTGAATTTACTCCAAAACAGCCGTAAGTCACCGCGTTCGGTAATCTGCAACCGTGAAAAAAATTGTAGACCTTATAATCGAGCCACTATTGTTTTTGATGAATCAGTCATTTTTTGTAGGTTGTTTTCCAAATGTATTTAAAACGACTCTCATATTTCCTCTATAAAAAAAAGGCGACAAAACTGAGGTAGACAACTACAGACAGATATCTTTACTTTGTTCCCTCTCTAAACTGTTTGAGAAAGTTGTTAGTAACAGAATTCTGAATTACATGGATCAAAATAATCTTTTTAGTAATAACCAATATGGCTTCAGGAAGAACAAATCAATTGAATCAGCTTCACACCATTTAATAAATTTCATTTATACACAGGTTGACTCGAATAAACTAGTTGTAACACTTTTTTTCGATTTGTCAAAAGCATTTGATACCATTTCTTCCGAATTTCTTATAATAGAGCTTCTCCGATTTTTTATATAATACTTCTATGTTGTGAAAGTTTGTGGACGTGAACCATATTTATTGTTTTTGTATTGTTCAACTTCTGTAGTTTTATTTTGTTTTTTAATTATGACTTAGCACATGTACTCAATGTACCGAAGTGTCAAATAAATAAATTTCTCTTTTTATTTAGCAACGTTGCACTAAACTGAACTAAACAGTACTAAATCCACGTTCACACAAATACGATGATGGGAATGCTATCAAAAATCTTTAAACGACGGACCACAATCCAGGGTGCAATTGCGGGATTGGCTTTTATAGTGAACATTCTTGGTATCCATTTTTTAATTTTATTTTT